TGACACTGAGGGGTGTCTGTGACACTCAGGGGTGCCTGTTACACTGAGGGGTTTCTGTGACACTCAGGGGTGCCTGTGACACTCAGGGATGTCTGTGACACTGATGGGTGTCTGTGACACTGAGGGGTGTCTGTGACACTGAGGGGTGTCTGTGACACTCAGGGGTGTCTGTGACACTGAGGGGTGTCTGTGACACTCAGGGATGTCTGTGACACTCAGGGGTGTCTGTGACACTCAGGGATGTCTGTGACACTGAGGGGTGTCTGTGACACTGAGGGGTGTCTGTGACACTCCGGGATCTGCCCGTGACGCTCTGTGGGGACACACAGCCCCCATCACTGGGGCCAGGGTGGTGTGGGGACTGTCCCCACCGTGCTGGTGGCACTGTGTCACCTGTGGTTTTCCCGAGTCCCTGCACTCAGCGTTCTGCCCTCGCTGCCTTGCTCTGGCTCTGGTGTTTGTTCCACCCCCGGCACCACCAGCTCCTCCTCAGCCTGTGTGGAAGGGGCTTTTAAAAACCTGGCCGGGTCCTGACTCGGGCTGTCACTGTCCCCAGGTCCCACCCGCCCCCTTCCACCCCCACGCCAGTGGCAAATGTTGCCAAGCTACAGAAATAAATATTTTCCAGCCCCAAATGTGCTGAGGCCGATAACCCCCGCAGGCACAGCCCAGCTCTGGTGCCGCTCCGGGGCTTTCTTCGTTTTGGGGGTTGCCAGGAGCAGCTTGGGGTCACCCCGGGCTCCTCCAGCCCCTCGGGATGGGTGGGTGGGAGCTGGCCCCATCCCATCAGCACACCCAGGGCCACAGACCCCAGCATCTGCTCGGCCTGGGGGGCTCAGGGGGTGTCTGGGCACGCCACAGTGCCAGCTCTGTGCGTGGGGTGACACAACCCCTAATGCCAGCCCTGTCCTGCCCAGCCTGTGCTGACACCAGGTCCCCCTGCACCTGAACCTCCCTGCTGGGCTTCCCAGGGCAATGGTGGAACCCCCAGCCCTGGAAATAGTAAAAAACCGTGTGGATGTGGCATCTGGGGACAGGGATTAATGGAGGCTTTGGCCGTGCTGGGGGAACAGCTGGGCTCCATGGTGTTTTCCCACCTGAAGGATCCCATGACTCTGTGGCTCCTGCACATTGCTGGAGCAGCTCCCTTTGAGCACAGGGGCTCTTCTGGGGGGACAGGGGTTTGGTTTTTTCCCCTGGGAACCCCAGCAGAGCTTGGGGACACACCAGAGTGGCACTGAGATGGAGGCTGTGACATCCATGGACCCGTGAAGGGGCAGCTGCCCAAGGACAGCCTTACGGGAACCCTGACCTTGCTGCCACACTCCTGGGGATATAACACTGAGGGGTGGGGGGTCTGTGGGTCACAGGGTCCGTGGGACAGAGGGTCTGTGGGTCACAGGTTCTGTGGGTCACAGGCTGTGTGGGTTACAGGTTCTGTGGGTCACAGGTTCTGTGGGTCAGAGGCTCTGTGAGTTACAGGTTCTGTGGGTTACAGGCTCCATGGGTTACAGGCTCCATGGGTTACAGGCTGTGTGGGTCACAGGCTGTGTGGGTCACAGGTTTTGTGGGTCACAGGTTTTGTGGGTCA